GTATAAGGAAGGAGGCCTTTTTGTCCAGAACTGCCATCTTCCAGGAATTCTCCAAAATGATGATTTCAAAGGGAAGGATGAGAGCCCTCTGATGTATATTCTCTTGGCCTTTTAGAAAACATGGAGTTGTTCCTTTGGTGACATATATGTGAATCTACAGGAAGGCTGATATTGTAGACATCAAGGGAATGAATGACATTGCACAAGGAATCCGGAAGAACCCACAGTATCAACAAGCATGTTGTGGACATTGTTACAAACAGGCATGTTAAAGGGAATAGTATTGCCAAGAGAATTGTGTATTGAGTACTCTAAGAACCCAGATAGTTTTTTGAAATATGTGATGGAAAATGATCAGCAAAAGAGGAAATCCAAAGAGAAAGGTACCTGGGTTTAACTGGAGCTTGTTCCAACTAGCATACCATTTGTGAGAACAAAAGGGAAAGTAGCTTCAGCTGCTGGAATCCATTCCCTATAAATTCCTGGCATAATAGATGTAAAAACAAAAGACCTAGAGACCACGGAGAAGGGAGGGAGGGAGTACACTTAAACAATAAACAGCAGGAAGGGAAGGAAACTGTCAATGAATTTAGTAAGGTTTTTCCTTTAAATGATGAATTAAATGGTTATCTACTCTAAACTTAATATTGACTTACATAGAGTGAAATTTAAATGAACGTTTAAAAAATGGGGCAATTAAAGGGTTTCATTGGCTTTGAAAAAAAGACAAAAAAATTGTCCAGTCCTTTTGCTGTTTGCTAAGAGCACACGTTTAGCACTATGTAAATCTGTATGTCTCCCTACTTTTTTTTTTTTTTTTTTTTTTTTTTTTTCGTAGTCTTGCAGATCCACACACTTTCTTACAAATGACTCAAGTGCATCTTTCTTTTTTTTTTTTTTTTTTTTTTTTTTTTTTTTTTTGCGGAACCGGGGATCGAACTCATGACCTTGCGCTTTCCAGGCAGGCACTTATGCCACTGAGCTATATCCCCAGCCCTGTCTCCCTACTTTAGAAGTATGAAACTTTTCATTTTCCCTGGAATGTCACATACTCACTCATAAATCACCCCTCCTCATGAAGAATGGAAATACAGCTTTCTGAATGTTTATAATTTTCCAAAGACAACTCACTATAGCAGACAGTGCATGGTACTTTCATGTAAATATAGACAAGTGGGAGGATGACAGTAATAAACACTGAAATGGAACTCACCGGTGTTAGAGTCTCAGGATGAGAAGTCGACTCGGTGGAGTCGCAAAGTGGAAACAAGCCTCCAGATGAATCACGGCAAAGGATGTCTTGTCCTGAACTCAGTGGATCGCTACATTTTTGGAAATTAAATTCTGTCTTTCCCATACGCTCAATGCATAGATTGAAAGAATAAGGCAATGTCCCTTCGCTGTAGTTGGGGGCAACTACAGGTACAGGCTTGGAACAGGGACCATGCTGAAAGCAGCCCCAAACAGTGGGGCTCGAGGTGTGTTGAAGGCGCAAGGCAATAGCCAGAATCACTGCAAGGAGGAAAAGCACTGAGATCAAGGCCAAAGCTACTACTAGGTAGAACTGCAGCTCTGCCTGGGGGTCAGAGGACACAGACTCTTCACCGAGGTCTGGCATCACCTCCTGCAGGCTGTCCGCGAAAACAAGGTGCAGCGTGGCGGTGGCCGAAAGAGGAGGCTGCCCACCATCTCGCACAGCGACCAGCAGGCGGTGGCGCGCAGCGTCCTTGTCGCCCAAAGCACGCGCCGTGCGCACCTCGCCAGTGCGCAGCCCCAAGCTAAAGAGCCCCGGGTCGCTGGCCTGCAGCACGTGGTAGGACAGCCAGGCATTGTGTCCCGAGTCAGCGTCCACCGCCACCACCTTGGTGACCAGGTAGCCCGGCTCCGCGGCGCGCGGCACCGTGTCGAAGAGCGCCGAGCCATCGGGCCCCAGCGCGGGGTACAGCACCCTCGGCGCGTTGTCGTTGCGGTCTTCCACCAGCACGCGCAGGCTCACGTTGGCGCTGAGCGCGGGCGAGCCCTGGTCGCGGGCCTGCAGAGTGAGCTCAAAGGTGCGCAGCTGCTCGTGGTCGAAGGCGCGCTGCGCGAACACCACTCCGCTCTGTGCGCTCACGGACACGTAGGACATCAGCGCTCTAGGCTCCAGGTCGCTGGCCACAATGGAGTATGAGACTTGGCCATTGGGTCCCAGGTCAGGGTCGGAGGCTCTGACTTGAGCAATGGAAGCTCCCGGAGGGTTGTTCTCAGCCACGTGGACCGTGTAGGAGGCCTGCTGGAAAACTGGAGCATTGTCGTTGACATCAGCAATGTGTAGGGTGACACTTTTTCTGGAGGATAGGGGTGGTTTGCCCCTATCGGTGGCAGTGATGGTGATATTGTACTCTGGAGTCAGCTCTCGGTCCAAGTTGCTATCTGTTACCAACTTGTATGAATTTTTGGATGAATAGATGATTTTAAAAGGAATTTCACCTTCTAGCTGACAATTAACCTCCCCATTTTCGCCAGAATCTTGGTCATGTATTTTTATCAAAGCAATTAATGTTCCCGGTACTGCATTTTCCAGAATCATTTCCAGAAGAGAATGGAATGTGACTACTGGGCTGTTGTCATTTTCATCTTGAATACTAATTTCAACTGTACATTGTGCAACCAGTCCTCCACCATCCCGCCCTTCCACCACTAGAGAATACTCTTTAATTTCTTCAAAATCCAGTGTCTTTTGCAATATAATTTCTCCACTCTTTGAATTCAGAGTAAAGACTTGTCCAGTTCTGTAAAATGCATAAGTAATTTCCGAGTTGACACCCTCATCCTGGTCAGTGGCTGACACCTGTAGCACAGTGGTGCCCAGGGGCATATTTTCTGGAAGACTGACTCTGTACACTTCTTGATTGAATACAGGGGGATTATCATTGGCATCAGTGACCTGGATTCGGATCTCAGTGGTACCGCTGAGGGGTGGATTTCCACCATCTAAGGCAGTCAGAACTAACCGATGGTAACTCTGTTGTTCCCGGTCTAAGGTTTTGTCCAATACCAGTTCTGGGTACTTGCTACCATCTTGTTTCTCCTTATTCACCAGGGAGAAACTAGGGCTAGGCGACAACTTATAAATCTGTAGCGAATTTAAGGCAATATCTGCATCTTCTGCTACTTCTAATATAAATCGTGTGCCCGGCTGTGCAGATTCGCTTATTTGGAGCTCAAAGGAAATATGCGAGAATTTTGGCGTGTGGTCATTAACGTCC